TTTTTAACATGACTTTCAGAAAGAGAGAAAAGGTGAGATCAATGCCTTTCCCCTACTAAGTGCCAGGTACTTTATTAGTCCTTTTAATTTAAGCATTTCGTGTAATTATTACAACGTTATTCCATGATACTAGTTTTATACCTACCATCATCCTCTCTAATAAAAGAGAAACCTGCAAATTGACTGCACCTTCACTATACCCACAAGCCACACCCACCAGCCAATCAGGGAGAGCATGCAAATTAACCTGACCAAGATGGCGGTTGATTCGCATATCCAAGCCAGAATAAAGACTGAAGACAGCATAGAAAGAAGCCAAGCGCTGCAGAAGGGAGCCAAGTTGCAGGGAAGCAAGCAAGCGAGGCTGCAGAGAAGGGAGGGAAGCAGGTGGGGCAAAGGAGACCGAAGCAGGAAGCCCTATTGCAGGAATATTCCTGCAAGGGGCCTCTAGTTTTAAAGATAAGAGTAATAGAATCACTGAGGTTAAGTTATGGCTAAAAAGCAACCGAGATGAGATTTAAAACTAAGTTTTAATTCCACACTCCTATCCCTCAAACTATATGTTCTGAGAAATCTGTCAAACCCTTGGGGAAAATATATAAAAATAATTCCCTACCTAAAAGGTGCATGGCATTGTGGAGAGCCCTGTGCATTTGGTCTTTGTGGAGTGTGACTATGTCTTAGGTATACATCAGACTAACTCTTTCATTGCCCATAACACATGCCAGGAATTCAATTGATATGCAGGGAGCTTGACTTGAACTTGAAATTTCCCAGTAAAGCTTTCCCAGGAATCTGTCTCCACCCACCACTGAAAGGATCACAGTGAAGATTTCCCCCTACATAAATATTTCTTTTATTAGTCTATATGTGCTCTACACAATCACACAGCTATGCACACCTGTGTAAGCCTACACTACGGCCAGTCCCTTCTTCAAACATAAACTACATGCAACAGCCCCATCCTCCAAATTATTAAAAACAAACCAACCAACAGAAAAACAAAAACAATGGGGAAAACTTCTTGAACTTAGATGAAAACAAATAGAATGCAGGAGATGGGTAGATGGGACTGGGAGGAGAGAAAAGCATTAACACTTCATAATACTATATAATCCCTAAAAGTTAGAAACCTTAAAGTACTCAAAGTACTCACTAAATCTCTGTAGAGAAAACACATGACACCTGTGATGAGTATATCCTGAAACCTTGGCACACTCAATAATGCCCCAAAGCACCTCACTTTTCTTATGAAATACAATAAATTATGGCAGGAGAAAGCTATAAATAGTGGGAGGTCAGCTGGATTCAGTGATCAGCCACATGTAAAATCCAAATGTCAATCTCAACAAGACTGTCAAGGCCTTCTGAGACGTGGCTTGCCAGGACACCATGTATGTGTGAAAGCATGAATGCTAAATGTAGAGTGTTCAGATATGAATGTTTGAACATGTGACAGTTAAATTCTTTTAGTAGCAAGTCATTGAAAATTCAGTACAAATTAGCATAATAAAATGAGAGAGCAAGAAGTAGAAATAAATTTATTTATTATGTATGTATATATTATATATAACCAGTAAAGGTATATATATTAGAGAAATATAACTTATTAGCTTATATAGATAAAAAAAATTCAAAGGCTTCCACTTTCAAGCATGGTTTCATCAAGAAATTAAATAAATGTAATCAAAACCAAACCTTATTTCTATCCATCTCTATGATCTGTTTTCTTCTCTGTTGGTTCCATTCTCAGATATCCTTTTTTCTCTCATGAAGGTAAGAGGACAAAGTGAATTAAAGGGCTCCAAGTTTACATATTCACATACTCAAGGTCAAGGATAAAAAGAGCGATTTCTCTTTTTAAACTTTCGTAATTGGCTTTGATAAGCTTGGACTGGGTCCTCTATTCATCCCTTTTTAAAAAATATTGAAACTTGGGGAAGTGATGTTCTGATGGACCAGTGAATATACCTAGTTACTAGTGTCAGAGTCAACCATGAGAATAAAACCTACATCAGTTGAAAGTTAAGAAAATTAGTTCCCCAAGGGGTATTTTTTTTTTTTTTTACTATTATGGGGGGAGAGTGAAGGAGGAAGGATGCTGTTAGAAAAGCAAATAAATATTCACTAATGGCATTGACGAATAGAAAGCATTGAATGTCAAGTAAAAAAAGGTGAGATTTCTGTCCACGTTTACTAGTAAGGAAGCAGATTGATAATATAATAAAAGGTGAATTAAAGAAAATGAGTGAACTAGCAATCGGAAGATTGAAACACAGTCTAATTTATTAGATTTTTTTTTAGCACTATCTGTCACACTCTGCAAATTTAAAAAAAATAGGATATCATAGGGAATAAATATTGTATAAAAATATCATTGACATATCACTCATGACAGGGCTAAGCCAAAGGTTATGAAGATAAGTAAGTCTAGAATAAAATATTAAATCAATTTTTCTTATTTGACTTTGATTTAAAGGTACACCAGGAAAAATAATTTATCTTATGTCCAGAAGTAATAAATCAAATAATTTTAACAGGACAATAAAGGGATAAAAGAATGAAAAATGGGAGATTTGGAAGAATCAAACAGCTGTTTGTTAACATGAGACCTTAAACAATAATTCTGCCAATTCTATTCCCATTGGCTGCTTCCATTATATACTGTCAAGTTGGAACACAATGAAGCAAATGTGTATAATTAAATTGGACATTACATACCAGAAATTAATGGGGAGATAGAATAATTATAGCAAGTCAAAAAGAAACCTAGTTTAGCACTCACAAAATTTCTAAACTCTAAACTGGAAAGGCTTAGAGGGAAATGGGAAATGAACTTCTGCCAAGTTTATGTCTAACAGAGCTTGGTTATTTTCTTTGAGGCTTTTATCATATAAGGAGCTCAGAAATATTTTCAATGCATGAGCTAATAAAACAGGATGAGAAGCTACCATAAGGGGGGAAAATAGGAACAATAAAACTGCTGAGTATTGAATTCCAGCATATTGTCTTGAGAACATTAAGAATTTCTTCTTTTTTCCCTTCTTATTCTTACCTTTGTTTATACTTTGAAAGCATCCAGGATTTTTTTCATGTACCACATCTGCCATATTTAACTCTTCTATTCGCCCTCAAGGTTGATGACTGCCCATGTTTAACCTTTACTCTGTTGCCCTGACTAAATATTAATGCAGAAAGGACTTATTATTCAAATATCTGCTATATGGTTAAACTCATTATAGACTCAGAAAATATATGTTAATCTTTGATGAAAGTATTGTTTATTTGTTGGTGCATGGTTGAGTGGTAAACTTCTAAATGATTAAAAAAATAATAGTAATAACTATCAAAGTCTAAAGAGCACCAATTAATGTGATAGTAGGAAAAACAAGAAGTTGGATGAGTGCCCAGAAGCAAAGAGAAGAGAATGAATAATACAGGGAGAAAAAAAAAAAAAACACAAAAAAACATAAACAGGCAAATGCATTGAGTGTCTCTAAGAGAGTCAACAAGACAGAATTTGAATGAACCTTATTACTAACCACATGAATGTTATTGGGTTTTGATAAAGGTAGTTTCAGTGGAGTTTTGGGCAAATCCAGACTTCAGCAAAATTAGGGATGAAGGGAACTGAAGAATTAGAGATGTCTTTATAGAAAGAACTATTTCTAGATGTTCAGTTTAAAATGTAGTTTGAGAAATAGGGAAGATGCAGAAGATGGATATAGGTTTAGGGGAAGGATTTATTTTGTTTCTGTTGGTGTTTTGTCACTTATTATTGCCTTTGTTTAGATGCAGGTGGTAAAAGCATTTTTGTATTCTAATGGGAATGACCTGGTAGAGAAGGAAGATTCAGAAAAGAGCATATATAAGCCTTCAAGGAGGCTGTATGTAACAGGTAGAAAAATAAAAGGTGAGCACAGGATGGGAACCCTAGGAGACTTGGTGGTGGGAAGATATAAAAGGCAATTCAATATTTTTCTCCCCTCAAAGCATAAGGAAAGTTGATAAGCTAAGGGTGAGGAGTTGGAAGGAGGAAGAACAAAGGAGTTAAAGATAATTATATATCTTCAAATGGTAAATCACCATAAGTATAAATAGAGAACTCAGATAGATTCTTGAAGAAGAGATAATGATCTACCTTTTGGTGTATTTAGTTGGCAGTGCCTAAATGACATCTAGGTAGATCTAACCAGCAAGTTCTAAGAAATGAAATATGACTATGCAAGAAAATTATCAAGAATAAAGATTCAGATTTGTGGATATCAGTCAAAAGATGAAATGATACAGATAATTAAGAATATAGAAAAAGAGCAATCCAGAAGAATGGAGGCTTGGGGAAATTTCTATATGTATAGAATAAGAGCAGGAAGGTGATGGAACAGAGGTGCCTAGAAAACTAAGAGAACTAGAACTGTGATGTGCCAGAGAAACCACAGTGGAGCCCCAAGGCTAAAATGTAGAAGGAAAGCCAATCAAGGAAATCCCACTGGATTTAGCAATTGGGTGGTCCTTTTGAGAAAGCTCTTTCAGTAGATCCATAAAGGTAATGTGCTCAGACTCCCCAGGTTAAGCAATAAGTGGAAGGAAGTAATAGCTGTTAACTTTTTTGAAGAGTTTGGCCTTGAAGAGAATAGGAGAGCTAGGGTAGTAGTTTAAAGAAGTATCAGAATGAAGGCATTTAATGACTAGATTGGAATGAAAGACGTCAGCATAATTATAAAATGAAGTGAAATGTCCAGTGTAAAGGCATAAATTGAAAACACTAGTAGGAAAAGGGATAACTGATAGAATGAGTCATGCCTACAAAACATGGGTTGGTCCCCTCTCACCTGCAACCTTGCCTCATGCCACATCCCCTATATATGAAGTGTCATTCATGCCCCAACATCCCCTAAGTCAGTATGAGACTCGGGACATATTTGCATTCTGCTCTCCACCTGGATAATCTTCAGGTCTCAGGTCTCATTTCAATTATTTTTCTTTAAAATATCTTTTTAATCACTTCTCAGCCTTTTGGCTAAGATCAAGTGTAGTAAAAGATCTTTTCAGATAATACTTATGGAAGCAGTCTGCCCATGAATCAGACCTGCCACTGCATGCTGTTTGTTTTCTTGAGAGAACTTAATCAAAATAGGAAAACATCCTGATTTCTTGTTGGTTCTCTCCAAGTTCCAATTGGGAGAATCTGCTTCATACAGCAATGCAATTTTTCTACTTGGCATTATAATAAGCGTGGAGGAGGAAGTAATTTTTATCTACTTTTCATGGTTCCAATGGCTGGTCTAATAATCCAATAGACATAAGGCAGATTAATAAGACAAAGTAATCAAATTTAATTACATACATAAGTGAGAAAGTCAGAAATCCCCCACACAGGAGAGGTTAAGAGACAAAAATGGGGGAAATATATATATATATATATATATATATATATATATATATATATATATATATATATATATAAAACTTCCTGGGCTAGGGATGAAATAGAGCACCTAAGACTTCAGAGTTGAGGAAGGACATTAGTGGAACAATAAAAGGAACAGATAGCCACCTTTTCTGCTTGGTCTGGCATGCAGAGGCAGCCAATTGATGATTCTTACTCATCATTGATGTTTCTGTCTCTCTTTCCCTCTCCTCTCTTCCTCTCTTGGAAAATAATAACAAAGATACTTTGTAAAAAAGCAGATAGTCAGTAAATAGAAGTTTGCCCTGCCCCGTAGATAGGTCGTAAAGTAAAAAGATATTTCTGATGACAACTCTTATGAGAAAGGCCCCTAATTTAAAATATTCTAGGTAGTTGGCAGAGGTTGGCATGGGGGAATGTCAGAATTTTATTTTGAGCTCTTAGGGTCTCAGCTGCCTTTAACTAAAAATAATCTGCACATCAGAGGCACATGTCAGAGTACCTTGTTCAGAACCACTACATAAGAAATACATTTATCATTTGTAGAATAAATCAGGAAAAAAAAAAAAGGTAGAGAAATGAAACGTAGAAAACAAAAGGAATAGTTTCCTTTGGAAAGAAAGAGGGACTTTTTTCTTGAGATGGTTGGTAGTTATAAGAATTAGGAGACATTTTGCAGTAGAGAGGAACAATTTTGAAGTAATTCAATTTAATAAGGTCAAAAGCAAGGTCATCTGCTGAAATAATATTCCAATCTGAGTGCTGAACTATAACATTTGTGGAGCACTTATGATTTGCCAGATACTATGCTCAGAAGTTTTAAGCAAAATCCTCAAACTAGCCCCACAAGGAGAAGGAATGGGGGGTGCTGTCCACATTTCAGACGCACAAAAGGAGAAGACTCAAAGAGGAGAAGAGATGCAGCCACAGACACATAGTAAGAAAGACTCAGTCAGGGCTGAAATCCAGGTTTACTGTAAATCCCTCTTATCCTTGATGACATACTTGCCAGGTTGAATCATAACACAGCAGAAACATATTGATACAAATTTACGGTCAAACATATAACACATTATTTAAAAGCCAAAATTGAAAATGCATAGTATTTTCTTTTCCCTGATTCATATCTAGATGCCACAGATGACAGATTCTTAATTTTAGAAGTACCTATAAAACAAAGAGTGCAACTTGTCAGGCCAAATTGAATGTAACTCACTGATGTAACTTGGAAAAATAAAAGCAGATAGATGTAAATGGATGGGAAAACAACAACAAAGAAGACTATATACCTGAGAGATGATTCTGAAGACGCATCCAAATAAAAAGGAGCATCTATAAACAGAGGATGGATGGAAACTTCCTAGGATAGTTCCCTGGGGAGGGACTGCGGGTTATTCTCATAGGCTGTGCTGCACCCCTGGGGAGACCATTCTTTCCTCTGCCTATGGAATATGCCCCTCACTGGCGATTTAGGCAGAATGCTCTCCGTGAAGAGTAAGTTATTTTTTCAGGAAGGATCTACTGTGTGAGTAATGGAACTGTTGAGAGGAAAGTGACCCAGACTTTCAAAAGGACCTTTAATTGGAGCAAAACATATCAGGGCACTTTCCTCACAGAGAAAATACCTCTGGCTTGCGCAATTACAGGAGTCCTAAGAAAACCTTCCTAGTCCACACTCAATCACCATGAAATCCCCCAATGGATCACACAGTCCAGTTATACGGAGACCACAGCAACCTTTCCATTCAGTGAAGTACTTCAGGCAAATAGATGTGCACAACTGTTCAAACAAACCTCACTAGTTATCCAAAAATATATACATAAATGATGAACCCCAACTAAATAACTATTTGAAGCATGAAATTGAAGGATAACGGTGAATACAGAGGACAGTCAATGTAAGACTGAGCAAATACAAGAAGCGAAGGGGCTTAAAATTTGAATTTAGTACCCTCAGCAAGATTAAGATGATCTTGTCTACCCAAATAGACAGCAGACGATCATAAAACTGGAAAATGCAGAGAACCAGAAATAGTGGTTGAAAGTAAGAGTATTTTTGTAGGTGACTTCTACTTCCAGCCAGGATCCTATAGCTTGTAGCGTATGAATTCCCCCAACAGAAGCTGTCAGGGAAGCGGTATGAAATACAAAAATGAATCTTCCTGTAAGTGCATGGGAGCTGTTGAAGGAGCCAGGACATGAGAGGCCAGACCCTGGAGAGAAAGAAAGCTGGGGCGTTGAGCCTGACTTCCCGCACATTGCTTTTCCCTTTAGGGCATTTACCAATTTCTGGGCCATGGCTGACAAACAGAAACAGGCAGCTTCTAAGGGGCAAGAAACCATTAAAAATGCTGTCAATTACCTTAGGACAAGGAGACAAAAAATGGAATCCAGAGACATCAAGGTAGCCAGGCTTTCTCCCAGAGAAGAGGGCACACAGAAGTTAGCCCGATGTTTAGCATGCAATTCCATACTGAGGCATTTGCTTACTCTAAGCTGCACAGGGCAAGATGTTAAGAAGTCGTACACAAAGTGGCTGAAAACTATAGTAGACTTTTTGGCAGCCACAAGGTACTGGACACAAAAATTAAAATTCATGACCCATTCAAAAGGAGAATTCTAGGAGACAGATATTTTATGCTCACATTTGAAACACCTAGAGGATTATACCCTCAGATCAGAAATCAAATGCAAACATTGGAGTTTGGTTTACAAACTTCCCAGTTCTCGACTGGACTCAGATAACCTATCCATCTGCTTCCTACCCACCAGATAATGGAGTGAATTCTCTTTAGAGGAAGAAAAAAATAATCCATGGACTCTATAATTGTCTTATCCAGTAGCTGGCATTTAATCACAAATTGCCAGGCATAGTAACTAACTAAGTAAATACATACAGACACATCTATGCATGCATTTACATGCATGGGTGGGTAAATGAGTGAATGCATGGAAGCAAGAATAAATAAATGCAGGAGGGGGAAGAGAATGAACACAAATAAAAATTCAAGTGACTTTGTGGTTATTAAACTTTAATCAAAATAACTGTCATCATTTCAAGAAAATAGATGATAGCATAAAGAAATTCTCTGAGAATCAGATGCTATATAAAAAGATCCAGTCCTGCTGGTGTGCCTCAGTGGTTGGGTATCAACCTATGAAGTAGGAGGTCATGGTTAGATTCTCAGTAAGGGCACCTGCCCAGGTTGTGGGCTTACTCCCCAATAAGGGGAATGAAGGAGGCAGCCAATGATTCTCTCTCATCCTTGTGTTTCACTCTCTCTCTCTCTCCCTCTCTAAAATCAATAAAAATATATATTTTTTATAAAAAGATCCAAAGGAAACTGCAGAAATGAAAAGTAAAACAACTGAAAATAAGAACTCAATAAATGATTTTTCCTGCAGCAGAAGGAATAAGTGGACTGAAAACATCCAGATTTGGCATGGAAAGCAAAAAGAATGGAAGAGACATAAAAGCGTGTGAAAGACTTATGATATACGGTGAACACATTTAACCAATATGTAATTGGAGTCTCAGAGGGAGCAGAGGAGAAAAATGGCAAAACTGACATTTCATAAGAGGATGGCACTGATTCTCCACAATTGATATAATGTGCCAACCACAGATTTAAAAAATACTGAAGCCCAAGCAGGATAAATAGAAAGTAAATAACAATGAAGCATGCAATACTAGTAGTTTAACACTGTTTAAAATTCAACATGAAGAAACATTCTTCAACAGAAGAAAAGAAGACAATCCTATTACCTTTCTAGAAGCGACACTAAAACTAAGAGCTGACTCTCAGCATACAAAGAAGCCAGAAGACAGTTAAATTGCAAGAAAAAAATTTTTTCAACCAAAAAACTCATATTTAGTAAAATAGCAATATTTCTAGGCAAACAAAAATGCTGGCAGCTTTTCTTCATCAATTTTATTCTGAAGGAAAAAAAAAATAAGGCATTTCAGGCAAAATGAAATTATTCCACCCAGAAAAGCAGAGGAGGAAATAAGTAGTGATTGAAAAGATTATGTTATGTGAGAAAATCTAAAATGAAAATTGACTGTACAAAATGCTAGTAATGTCTAGTGCATTTTAAATTGCATGTAAAATTAAAATGTGTGACAATGACGGATACAGCAGGAGAATGATAAAGGGAACTGTCTTGGATTGAGTACTAATTTGTGTTAAAGTATAATTTTTCAAGAATAAATGTTCTAATATCTATGAAGCCAATGAAAGAAGAGTAGAAATGTATAAGTAACAACAGAATAGATAATGATTGAAAAAAGCTTCACATTAAAGAAGGCCAAAAAAGAGAAAAAATGAACATAAAATAGTTTAGAAATATTTAAAATGGAATAGTAAGTGCCTGTAAATAGACTCAATATTCTAAATAAAAGATGAAATTGTCTAAGTGAATAAAACAGCAACAAAACAGTCACAAAAGCAAACTACATATTTCTTTAAAAAGATACACTTAAAATATGAGGCACAGAGGTTGAAAGTAAAAGAATCTAAAATGGTATATCATGCAAGAAATACTAAGAACAACAATAAGGAGATGATTTACCTATATTAACATAAACCCAGTTGACATTAAGGTCAAAACCATGACTAGAAATAAAGAGGCCCATTTTATATAATGCAGTATATATCGCTTTTCTATTATTGTATAACCATCGCCACAAATGCAGCAGTTTAAAACAACACAAATTTATTTATCTCACAGTTTTCATGACTCAAGAATTTAGGAATGGCTTCCCTGAATTTTCTGCTCTAGGT